TTCTACAGTAGGAGTCCAAATTAAGGCAACCTCTGATCTTGCCAAAGACCAAAAGAGATATAAAAACTTAAGTTTCTCTCAATGATCAGATATCGCTTCGCTTTTGGGAGCTAAGTCCAAATCTAAATATACTTCCAACGTCTCTTATAATTGTGTTAGTGAGGTGAAATTTTCCGCAGAGTAACAGAAAGTGTGTTTTTTCAGTAAGCAGCATCCAAGAGAAGTATGACGCTGATTTCAATTTACTTATTTTTGGCAACATTGTACTTAAAGTAAGTCACAAAGGACCCAACTAAAATAACGTTGCCAGACTTTTAAAATATCATAGAACTTTCAAGCATTTGAAAACCTGGGAGAAGATAAACTTGGGAAGTAGTCTAGCAGGAACAGAGCCTAAGGAGTTAATAAAAATTGAATATTGTTTTCACAAAGGCTTTCTGAAAAAGACTTGAGACATTTTTATAGCCAGAAACAATTAGGGAATACTTGTTTCAGCATTTCTTCCAAACTGGAATGTGACTGTATATTTAAGATAAAATTGCGATATGAACAGTCTGCTAAAAGCACTTTTTTTTTTGTTTGTGCATTTTGTTTGTCACCCAGTGTCACACTAACAACTCTGCATCTCATTCTAAAGCACATTATACTGTGAGATAAGATGAAAAAGACAGTTTTTTGTTTCCCCAAGGGGGAAGTACTTCTGTTAAAAGCATCTTTTTACGATACCATTCTTTCTGAATTACCAATAACGCAAACCAAAGAATTAGATACTGTACTCTAAAATTTAGTATTTGTTCAATTCTTATTCATATCCTGTAGACATCCCCATGTGTAACACGGGAAAGTATGCTAAATGCTTAAACCTACTTAAGAATCCTAAAGATTGAGCATTTCTGTCCTTCAATCAGTATGCTGTCAGGTCAGGCTCACACATTCAGCAATATAAGTTCTGCAGTTTTTATTATTGTAATGAAACTCAGGTTTGGCTTATCAGGCAGATAATAAGTAGTTGGCTTGAAAAAAGGATTGGGTTTGCAGTCCAGGAGAGCTATTACAACATAACCTTACTTTTAAATTCTTCTCTCAGATTCCAGTTTCTTCAAGAGTAAACTCCGTAAAAGGTAACGAGCAGCAAAAAGAACCAGTAGAAGGCAGAAAGAATGTGAAGAGTTGAAAAGACAATTAAACACTCTCTCACATCTTTCTAGGCGAAGGTTTAAATTTGTAGAACTGTACCATGATTACATAAGAACGGAGGTTTTAAAAAAAGTCTTTCTGAAGGAAAAACTGTTTGCAAGAAAGTAAGACACGCAGCAAGGTCTTTGGTTACTTTCAAGAGTCTGCTGAAGCTCACAGCAGCGTTTTAATAAAGACTTGTGCACCAGGTTCGCAATAAAGCTAGATGAGCATCTGTCAAGCAACTGACCTTTAAGATTCTTCTCTTTCTGGAACCCAACGAGCAGCGGCCAGGAATAGTGAGGTCTGAGGGGCAGGCCTTCCTCTTTCATCATCTTCATCACATCAATGGCCAAGGCTGAAAACATTCAGAAGATAATTAAACAGTGACCAAGTACTTTAACTAAGCATACGTAAAATAACTAAATAAGCAGAGTACCTGATCTGTTGGCCTCCAAAGCACAACGCAAAATAAACGGTAACGGCGCCGAGTGCATTTTTGCTTCTTTTAACTCATTACAAAATTGCAAAAGCTTTTTCGCAGGCTGCAAAGAATTTCAAAAATTAACTTAATATATTTCTCAAATTAAGAACATTAGATTTTTCTAACGTTTAGGAAAGGGGTATTACACATGTCAAACATGATCCCTTTGTGAATTTCAATTTACTATGCAAAGTGATATGAAATATTAATATCCTCCTTTTAATCTTTAAGAACCGTGCAAAAAAAATACACCATTTTCCATCTTCACAGTTGCATTAAACTAAATAAATATACTTAATATTAGCATATTAAGAAAAAAGTATTACCATATCTCTATTTACACAATGTTGCAAGAAGAAGCTACCCTGGTCCAAATGTTCACGTGCTAAATGATTAAAAGACTTCAAAATCTGGAAACCTATATCTTCGAAGCCATGGGTTATCAGAGTCAAACACAGGTTCATTGCATCTAGCAATTGAAAAACAGAGAACAACATTTCAAAAATGCATATAACTATTTTCACATTAAACTATGAAAATTAGTGAAAGCTAGGAAAGCAAAGGTTTTACAAGTGTCATTAGCATACTTTTAAACATGATTAACCAAGCAAATTGGAGAATACCTTTTCCAGAATTATTTATATTTACCAGTGAAATTCATGTTTCCCATTACAAGACCATGTCAAAAATTACAGAAGTATCACCACTGCAGCATGACAGAAGGATTACAAACAACAGAAATACATTTCTAGACAGATCAAAAAGGAAAAAATGGATTAAGTATAATTAACAGTTATCAGATTACACATACTGGGATCCAAAAGTGACTTTAACTGTAAATAAAGAAAACTATATTCAGTGTTTAGTCTCCCTTTTTATGATATTCACAGAGCTGTCCCAACAGGAATTACAACAGTGTTGTTTGAAGAAATGACACCACACTTACTGCTTTCCTATAAAATCTTAATGAATTTTAGAAGTTAAAAAAAATTGATAAATTAATTTTTGTATGTAAACAATTAAATTGGTTTATACTTAAATTTTATAAAACATGACCGAAAGCAGCATAAATGAATCCACAGACTAATGTGGATATTATTTTCCCTAAGTATTCAAAAGAAAAGTACAAAATCACCTACTTTTGGTATCATTAGTTATTATTGGAAATAAATGAAAGAAAAAAAAAGGAGAAAAAAAAGAAAACGCTTTCCCTCTGCAGCCTGAGTAGCAAAACACTGCTGTAGTAACCAAGGACATACCTGGAATTAATTCCCTTTCAAATTTTATGCATTCTTTAATATCTTCGATGTACTGAGGATATCCGGCCTTGGCAAGGCTAAAAATCACCTGCATCAAAATCCTATCCATAAGGTACCCTTCAGTCTTCTCAATCTCTTCTAGAGTCTGTTAACAGGAATAAATTTAACTTTAATAAACTCCAGAGTGACTCAAAACAAGATACAGTAAAATAAAGTTTAAGAATAATTTATTAAAAAAAAAAAAAGAAAATCACAAAAAGCTGTGGTTTTTTCCTTTTTTAAAACCATGGGTTTAGATACATGGGATGTGGTAGAGAGAACACCCAAGATCTATAGAGAGGGCCTCAAACGGCTTTAGACTCTAATAGAGAAAAAGGGACAGATGAACGGGTAGTTTCTCTCTAACGTGTAATAATATATGAAAACACCAGAGGTATTCCCATTGTGAGATGACTTTCAAATTACTTTGAAAAGGGGAAAACAATTAATCAGACTTTTTGTTAGTGTTTGGAAGAAGGCTGGTTGATGAAGGTTTGTTTAATTCGTGAGTCATGGACCAATAATCTATTTCCCACATCATCTTCCTTGATTTGGTCCTCTCCATCTGATACTACTTACTAAACTCAAACCAATTTTCTTTTCTCATTCCTTTCCGAATACTTCTTCGATTTGAAAAAAAGTAAGAGAGAATACTTGAAAAAAACCCAGCTACACAAAGGGCTGTAAGGCAGCATTATCTTATCCGCACTTCATGAATACCTAAGTTGTTGGCATGAACTCTCAAAAAAAATTTTGTTTTAATAGAAAGATTTTTGTGGCTTCAATGGGAGCCAAAGAATTGCTCAATGGAAGCAGGATAATCAAGGTTTACTTTTTATTTATTTTTATAAATATATAAATATCTCACTTGCACTATCTGCTCTCTTAAAATAACCTGAATTATTAGATCACTCACTGGCAAACATATCTTCTCAGAGCGAAAAGCAACTATCAAAAGACAAGTATTTTCCATAAAGTATGAGACTGCTTTCAGTTAACAAGCTACTCAGACCAAAAAAAAAATCATTTAATTGCTGTGGACTAGAAGGAAGCAAGTTACAAAATTCAGTATTATTCCTCCTGCAAGGATAGAAAGCATTCCAAGTTAAATCGACCAAGAGATCAAACAAGTTGTATTAAAACTCAAACTTGCCATACCTTTTTGATGCTATCAGCATCACCCTTTTCAGCATACATATTGAGCAGTGATAAATAGGTGTCTGGACCTGGTTCAACACCAGCCATCCTCATCACTGAAAGGATATTTTCTGCACTCTTCATATCTCTAAAAGAATTCAAAAAGAAAGACTTTTCAGTAGATTTAATCATAATAATGTTTCTTGTGACTTCCACATTTCCTCATTAAATTAATTAGAATTGGAAACAAAGACTGCAACAAGCACAGAGAAACTTATTTTAACTAAGCAAATCCTGAAAGGTGAAAGTGCAAATCTTTTCATTATTGTATTACTTAAAATACTCTTTCAACTTTAACAGTTGAAAAAGTTCAAAATGAAGTGCAGCAAATTTCTTTTTCAAACATTACAAAAGTACAGTAATCTATCTTGAAATTCAGTATTTTCAGACACAAGGAAAAAATCTACTTCCTTTGTCAAAAGGCCTGTTTTGCTTCGAAAATGTCTAAAAAGACAGTCTTTTATACATTATTATTCAAAACCATCATACTATTCTGCAGCATCTAATTTTTCTGTACAGTATCGCTTCATATTGCAGTAAAACTAGAAGAAAACAAAAGAAAAAAAGGTATTAAACATTACCCTGATCTTGCATGACCTTGCACAAGGCTACTGAATACTGCCTCAGTGATTGGGAGATCTTTGCTCTTCATAAATCCAAGAATCTTACTGCAAAATAAAAGACAATGAATGATTAGATTTTTTTTTTAATCTTTGAAAAGATAAACTACCAAGCTATTGCTGCTCTGCTGGACAAGTACTGTATCATCAAATAAAATCAAATCCCAAATGTCACTTACATTTGGGGATGCTTCATAATATGCTATTTTCATTTTTTCATATGAATTGTACTTGTCACTTTGAAATATGCAGAGACAAGGGTGGGGCTGTTTTTTTTTTAATTTTATCTTCCTTCTACTTACTTCTCATGCCCAGCAATCACACTGTTGCAACTTAACCTTGCTAAAAATAAAATGTTAGACAGATATCCAGCAAGCCCTACGTAATGACAACAAAAAACCAGAACTGCTGCTATTTGCTCCTTAGCCCACTTCATTCTCAAACACCTTTCTCAGTAGCCATTTCCTTACACAGGCAGTAAGCCTTCATGACCTCACACTTCTTCACCCTGGCTCTAGAAATGACAAAACAAGTTATTTTCTCAGCAATCTGAATACAATTGGATTTGAACACACTGGTCTATCACTTATTTTCATTTTGTTTGTGTAGGTTCCAGCTGTCTCTAAGAAACTTCTCTTCAGTGCTTGGTTAGAATACCTTTAAATGCCCTCTTTGCTTTGCTCAATTTATAAGAATTAGACTGAAAAGAGTTTTAACATTAACGGTAGAGAATATAAGAAATGGATCTTGTGGAAATCCCTTTAAACATAAATACAAAAGAATACCTCGCTCCTTCAATGTCACCCTCATTGCAATAAGCAGCAATCAACCTTTGGTATGTAACCTACAGAAAATAAAAAGGGGAGGTTAATGATTTCCATCCAATAAATGGATACTACTATTAGGAATGAAGATATCGTAAAAGGGTACCCACTCGATTGGGCTGCACATTAGCTTCCTCCATTCTGGCCAAGAATTCCATCGGAGAAAATTTGTGCTCATTCTGAAGGTAGACTTTAAGTAAAGCATTATAATGGCTTGTATCATACACAGCACCTAAGGGAATATTTCAACCACAGTCAGTGAATGTAGATTCTCTAAATTCAACATGATTTTACAGGTTTCTCGGGTAATTAATTTCAAATCAATTTTATTCTGCATGAACTTTATGTATAATCAGACTGCTTCCTTTTATCCACCTACAAAATAACATACATGTATTTAACAGCACGTGTGTTTATAAAAGGCTAAAATATAACAAGAGCACAGTAACATCAATGCTTGTGTGCATGCTATTCCACAGTCTCTACAGCTGTATTTATTTTACAGATTCAGCAACAGCAGTACCAAGAAGCAGTTCACCTACGCAACCTCTAAAGATAAACCACTAACAAGAAAATAATCCCATAAAATAGCTGGTAGCACAAGGAATACTCAGCCCACCCACCAGGGTAACATATAACAGAACAATAAAATGCATTCTTACAATTATCAAAATCAAGCAAAAGCCCAATTTAAGCATCTTATAAAAACCAAAACCACAACCACATCTTTAGATTTATTAACAACACCCCTAGATGTCAGTATAACTCCCAGAATAGGAAACAGGTCTCTCACCTGAATAATAAAATCTAGCGTTTATTCAGTACTGAGTATTTGCTGTGATAACCTAACATTTAAACACCATTTACATACATTCGGTCTTCTGTTACAACGAAAGTAACTAAAGCACGTAGCTGGTTTTGCAAGAGTGACTAACAAAACCAACCTACCCAGTTCTTTCATCTTGTCCCATATCATATGGGCTAGTTCTGTTCTTTCAGGTGACAACACCTCTGGTAAAAGAGCACCACAACTTCGCAACAAAAGCAAGGTCTGGTTACTCCCTGGACACCCTGCAAGTAGAACACAACCACAAATTTCTTTACAAATAATTATGCATTTAATATTAGAAAAAAGATTCAAGGCTGACCCACTGAAATATTTAAACATTCTGTATAGAATAGAATCTTCTCCAAGATTGAAGATTTTTACTGAGCAGGATACCCATCGGATTCGTTGATGGCAGTATTATGTGCTAGAGTCACAATAAAACATGCCATTTAGTACAATAATGAGCTCAGCTGAGCAGAAATTCTAAAAAGTACAACAAAATACTGAACTCAGATGATCTAATACTTTCAATTTCCCCATCCATAGGTCATTTCCTCCTAACAGGGACATAACTTCCTGGTAAATTTCTAAAATGGCAAGATACTTCATACTAACTCCATGCTATTCCAAAACTGGTATTCAGAGACATTCCGTATTTGAATTTCCATTTCCGCTTCTGCCCAAGCTCAATATAAAAATAAAGGAGATAATTTACACCTAGAGAGTAGCGAAGGAAATTGTAAGAATGTCTACCTTCGCTGACTTCTGCACTAGCTCAAGAATTTTGAAAAAGTAACTATAAACTCATCTGTCTTTCCCGGACTTCGTAAGGTAGAGCTGCAGAATCTATCACAGATAACCAAATAAGCTGGAGACAATTTTTTTTTTTTCCAATCACATCTTTATATGCAAACCCAGCAGTTTCTAATAAAAAGGAGTTTCTTTAGAAAGCAGCATACCGTAAAGGAAAAAAAAAGGGGGGCAAAAAACTGTGTCTACTCCTTTTCTATCGCAGAGAATGCTATACTTCAGAAGTAATTTCACATAACAAGGAGCAAGATAAATATTCACATACAACATAAGTGATAAAAAAACCTGTTTCTGTCTCAGAGACATACATGCAGACTTGAAAGATTCAGACTTGCAAAACAACTTGAAGACTAAAGCATTACTAATGCTCTGTAAGTTACTTCCAAATCATCATACCCACACTCCAAAGTTGCATACAGCCCAGCATAGAGGCAGGAGCTGTTGCCAGTAGACATCTCCAGGTGTTGCTGATGTAAGCGTAATTTTTAATTATACAGAGCTGTAGAAACAGCTATAAAATAACGGCAAAATAAAGAAAAAAACCACCAAACCAACCCTCAACAGCAGAAAGCTACATACCATCTAGAACTAGATCTTCAGGTACCGAAAAGGACCAGTCAGTCCAGGATACCACATAACTATTGTAAACTAAGTTTCAAGAGCACAATCTACAGCAGAAGAGTTATTTATACAGAGTAAGCTCATCTGGGAAGAAACACAGGCAGCAGCGGGGAAAAAAATAAGCAATAATGAGAAAAGAAGAGAAATAAAACACTGAGAAGGGGCAGATACAAATTGCAAATGGGGATCTGAACTTCTTAAGACATAACAGAAAGGGGAGATGAGCCATACTTGACTAACTTTAAAATCCCTGCATACAGTTAGTTCACACAGTAACAGTGCCAACACATCTCCAGTTTCACAATGCCAGTGTTATACTAGCGACTGAGCACCGTGAAAGGGAAAAGAAACAGGAAAAGGGTTGGCAGTATGTGCATGGGAAAATGCAGGACATCTACAGCAAGCACCTTCTTTAGGCATTTTTCATGTTGTAATTAGAAATGGAAAACCAATACAAACGCAGGCAAATGTTTTTAAGAAATCAAGAGCAACTAAACTCCCACACTTTTGCCAAATTAAGTTTTCAACATTAATAACAAAAAAAAGGACTGAATTTTTCGTAAGGAAGTATTTGTCATTTATTTGACTAGCATCCTAGTTAAATCCCTTGTGAAGTTTACACTTTTTTTTTAACATACTTACACAGCCAAAGGAAACCACTACAAGCAATTATCTTTTTGTTACTATAACTTCCTAAAAACTGTGTAACTAACCAAAGATCATGAAGAACTGTGATCTGCAGATAAACCTACAGACATAAAATTCTTGCCAATCCACATGCGTAAATTAAGTTTATACCTAAAAAACCACAAGGCAGACAGAACCAGAAAGGATATCACAAGCAAAAGGAAAAAACTAAGACATTCAGCAGAAAGAGAGAATGAATTGAAGACTCAGCTTTCAAACACTGAACCTTAAAAGCACACCTCAGGTATAGAAGCCATTAGCAGTCCTGAGCAATACATAGTTTAAAACTAAAACAAAACAATACATGCTGTCGTTGGTAAATATTGTCATGAGTACTTAGGATATTTAGCAAATATCTCTATTGACTCATCCTAACTGGTACCAAACCTCATCAATTGTGGTACCTGGTTTGCAAAATATTAATATAGGCTGGCTATTTTTAGTCAAAGGGTTATTGAACCTGTCAGAATGAACAATGCCTCAGCTGTTGATTTTTGGTTTATTCAGAAGAATAAAGCTCTCCTGAATAACCACAGCAACCTGGGAATGCGGCAACTTGGGGATCACCTCTAGATTTTCCTGTATAGATTCATTTTAAAACAAATAACCTCTTAAAGACAGCATGGTTTATTACAGACATTTTAAAAATATTCTAGGTAAAACACACAGGTATGATCCCTGTTCAGAGTGCACAGTACAGTGCACAATACACGAGGAAGGTGTAACATTACCAGAAAGTCCACAACAAGCAAGGCAGTATGATAAGTTTTCTTAAAATTTTTACAAGAATTTTTACAAGACTTATAAATTCCCAAAGACAAAGATGTGCATTCAAAGCAAAATAACATCTCTAAAGCATTTAAAGTCTGTTCATCACCATATGCAGCAGATTAATCAACACTCAAAAGACAAAATGTAAAGCAGAACTCTTTCAGTTAGTTTCCTTGGTTTGATGGATCATTATATTGCAGCTTTAAATTTAGCTTTTATTTTGCTTTAATTGGAAGCAACTTACCTGTTTTGCATATTTCATGGAAGATTTTTAGTAGAAGTGTTTTAGGAATGCGGCCAGTTTTCCTGACGGAGTTATCCAGTTTATTCAACGCCCAGTCAAACTGCCAGGTCTGTCTGGTTTGAACTTCTGAAATTGGTTCTTCTTTAACACTTCCCTCCTCTTGAGGTGCAACTGTAAGGAACCTTATTTGGTATATAATGTTTCTGCTTAAATAAAAACAAACAAAAAAAAAAAATAAAGATTACTCTTCCTCAAGTCATTTTGCAACTATGCTAGACAAATAGTGTCAAAAAGATAATGCACTTCTTGGTGATAAAGGGTTTCTCAAAAACATTCCATATTGATGTAAACAAACAAATAGAGGTGATTCATTTCAGTGTCTTTCTACTTAAAAACATATAGTCATGTACATTTTCTCACAGTGACAACTGTTTCTCTGAGATTCTCAGCTGGATTCATCTTGAGTTAAATGGTTCAAATACTATTCCCACAAAAATAAAAATTTTGAAGTCATCCAAGCACTGTAAAAGTCTGTTGTCCCATTATGGCTTCTCACAAAAGCTCTCTCATGCTTTCAAAAAAACACTCCAAAACCCATCACAGACATCTCTTCCAGAACACAGCAAATCAAGGCAGCAAATCAGACCTTTTTTTTTTTCCCCAATTAAAATAAACAAAACTAATGCAGAGGCCAGTGTTTCAGACAGCAACGGCTTAAAGAACAACAGGACCATTCCCCATTCTGCAGAATTTACATTAACGAGCATGAACCAGCCACCCTGCGACATAAACCAAACACCAATGCTGGATTTTTTTTTAAACATTTATTTTCTCAAAATAAAGTATGACAACAAGATACATAATGAAAAAGTGTTGTTATTTCTAGTAAAACAATAAGAGCTTGACATTTTTTTAAAAAAAGAACAAGTGGATGTACATAAGAAAACAGTATTTGCACCACAGCAGAATTGTGAACTGCCTGTGCGGGTAAAAATTATCATCACGCGCAAACGTTTTTGGAAGCCTGTTCTCAGTTGTCCTTATAACTGCATAAAATCAACCAGACTAGCCTTCCTACAAAGGAAGTAACATATGCTGGATGGCAACAAGAAGATTCAGCAGCTTCTGAAATTGCGCTCCCTCATCTCTGCCTCTCAAGACAGCTCTTCACCTAAATTTCCGTAAGTCTCTAGATTAGTTCAAAACCACCTTGTTGTTGTAGTCCCTGCCGTTACAGATGCTCCAGGAGCCCTGCACAGTAATGGCTGCACATTTGGTTGAAATGGCAGCCTAAAAGCCAGCAGTGCTGGCATTCTCTACAAAATTATTTCCCACAGGTATATCTGCTGGTTGGTTTCTCACCAACCAGTGCCAGTTTAAGGCCCTAGGAGACGAAGTCCAGTGGGGAAGCAGCTTGCTGGCAATTTGGTGTTTCAGCAATATTGGTAGCAAGCTGCTAAGTGGCAGAAAAATTACCAGTGGGGTGCACATGAGTGTGGTGGAAAAAAAATAGACAGGTGGTTTACCATCTGGTTGCCTCTTGTGAGCAGGAAGTAGCCTAAAGACCACCTTCTTCCTTATGTTTGAACTCCTGATTTGATAACTGAGCAGGCCGAAAGTTCTAGGAGTAAAATTCTTTAAATAAACCCAGCCTGAAGCAGAACCTCTTTCCTAATGGAGCCATGCAAACAGTTGAGTAGATCTTTGATTTTTGAAGGCATTAAAAAAAAAAAAAAATCCTTTACTAATGAGGAACATCATTACCATTTGGCATTATCTTTTTCAAGCAGCCAAATTTCACACTGCCCAATCTCCTCAAGTTTCCTCCTGAAGAGTTTTCCAGAGGCCAGCAAATTATCTGCATTTTATTTGACTAGGGAAAGGGAAACAATGAGGAAGAATAAATTGGAGAAATAGAAAAAAGCCTGTCAAAAAGGAAGAGATCCCTTCCTTCAGTCTCTGTGCTACCTCCTTCTAGATGCAAGTTCCCACCGACTCCTTTGGGCTAGCTCCCATGTTATTCAGATCCCTCTGTGAGTTTAACTCACTAACCTGGCACAATACCAACTCTGTCACTTCGACAAAAAAATTACTGTTCCATCAGGTTAGACTGGAAACAGCTCACAACGTCCAAAAAAACCACCGGAATGAACCAAAAAAAAAAAAAAAGAAATGGAGTAGGAATAGGTGGCTAAAATCAGAACTATAAAGAAAAAGAAGAAACTGAAAACACCACTTTTGGTCATAAGCAGCTTGTCAGATTAACACCAAACTGCTTTTTTATTACTAGCAATGCCATCTCTCACTAGGGGTATATCCAAGGGTGTCATTTTCCCTGATGCTTTCCTTCCTTCCTTTTCCTCTTCTCCTTCTACCTCATCATATAACCAGAGACAGGGTACTTTCCCTAAAACAGAAATCATTAGACTAATTAGAGTACAATCCAGTACTACAAGGTAAGAATAACAGCAAGATACTAAATCTTAAGACCTCTTGGGTGTAACAAGCAAATGAGAGGTCTACGACTTAGATAAACTCTTTAATAACACATAAACAGCAACACTCAACTGAGCTAGCCACTGGATAGCTTTAAGAATGAAACTGTAATGATTACAAATTCTTCATCTTTTTTTTTTTTT